AAAGAGTTCTGACCTTGTCAAGAACTAACTTTTCATTGCAAACTCTTTTATTTCTCCCTCAGAGTTTCCTATAGTCAAGTCATATTCCGGTCTTTATCATTTCTTTTACTTAAAAATGTATACATTACACTAAGAAAACTGAATTTAAGTGCTTTCTCCTAAGTACAATGTAGGATTTTGCTTTCTTTTGAACTTAAGCTTTGAAATTACCTTTGTGTAGTAAAGTAAGTTAAAAGTTATCTACTATCAAGGTATATCTTAAAGGGTATTTTATATAAAAACCTACTCCCTAATAGTAACATTGATATGTCATCTCTTGGTCTATATGCCATAACCTTTAATAGTCTTTTATTGTACCTTCAACATAATTTTTATACTCATTTAATATCAATTTTTAGGATCTGCTTTTAGTGTCCAAGGACTAGGTCATATTAATCTAATCCCAACCCATATGGAACTTTGCACATAACAAATACCTACTACTAAAGAATAAAACAAACTGAATATCTTTTTAATTTATTATGAAAAAACTACAAGTTTTTCTACATATTTCAATATAGCTAATTATATTCTGTAATCAATACGTTCTTCTCTAGGAATCTTCTGAAAATAACCTGCTATTCAATGTGAAATTTAATTTGTTAAGGATGTTCACATTTCTGTCCAGTCATTTAAGTTTACTTTTTCATTGAAAACAACATTTTTAGATAACACTGTGTCTCAAATTCTTTTACTTTCTTCCATATGTAAAATAATGGAGGTTCTTCATTTTGTAAAGCTAGTAAATACAAAGAAAAATCATGATGAAACCACTCACTCGTAGGAAGATACAACATATTTGCCTAGGTTTTATAAAAAAAAATGAATTCTTATTGGTTTGCTCAAAAATTATCCTCCTCCAAATAATGAGCTTCCAATTCATTAAGCCTCCTAAATAATGTGATTTCTATGAAAAACTCAATTCACTTTAAATTGCAGAAAAGTGTTATAATCTACATTATTCACAACAAAATATCTCACTTTGTATATTAAATAGTCTGAGAAACATAACTTTTTTTGTTCTTTTATATTACAAAATTTACATGTATTTTTGGAAAATGTCTTCCTAACTTTACCCTCCCAGAACCACTTTTTAAAGATAACTTTCATTAGCCATTGATGTGTCATTCCTGATACATATATCAAAACCTTTACACATACATACACTGATGTTTGAATATGCTAGTTTACTTTCAGAGTTTTATGTTTGGCATTTATTTTGAAATTAGCAGGACAATGTGCATTTCTACATATATATGGATGGTTATGGTTTTATAATGATTACCTGAACGTGATTCATATATAGTTTTTTTTCTCTCTTTGTTTCATGAATGAAGAAATTTAAAAGAATTTAAAAAGATGAGATTACTGTGACCTTTTCCACTTATGAAAAATAAACTAAAATTTCCCCCAACACATTCCTAAGCACTTTGGCATCTCTAAACTCTAATTGACTTAGGAGAACTGTACTTGCTATATTTATGATCTTCTTATCCAGCAGAATAGAATCTATTCCAATGTAAAATTACACTGTGTTCTATATTAGCCACAGGGAATTCTTGACTGCAGTATAATCCTTTGCGGCTGGGATTTATTGCCTGCTATGTTCCATCTATGCTACTAAGAGTTGCACAGGGAGCTAAAGTTGAGAGTGTCAACAACTCTAGGTGACCTAGTTATGTCTAATTTATAGGTACTTAGCATGACTAAGGGGGACTCAGTGTATACTGCAGTTGATCCAGTTTGAAAAGACTGTGACCTTTCTGTCCCAGTGCAACCACTCAATGTAGAATTCGAAGTAGAAATGGAATGGTTTTATATATCTCTCTTGAAATGTTTAGAAGAACATAATTCACTTGATTGTTTCCAAGAGTTGTGCTAGGGGCTAACAGCACAAATATTTATTCTGTTTTACTTTACAATTAAAATATATAGAACCTTTTAAAAAACATCTGTTAGTGCAAATGTTTTTAAACTATTAGTAAAGATAGAGGTCATTTAATTCAAATTATTTCCCAAAATCTTTTAAGATCTAGTCTTTTTAAATGGTCTTTTATCCTCTAGGTTGCATATTTTCAGTGATGAAGCTTGCTTGATAGGCTAGTACATTCTATTTTGTGCTACGTTGGATTAAGAGAAAACCTCTAATCGTATTGAAAGCATATGCTTTGAATGCATTATATTCATTGTTCTTATTTCTGTTCTCTGAAACTATAATAAAGAAACTATTAGTTTTTTTAATAATATCATCTAGTTATCTGGAATTTTTTTTCATCATTCTCAAATTTTATAATATATGCTCAGTGTTCAAACTTCACTTCCTCTAGTGAGCCACCATATTTGCACCTATATTTGTGTTAGGATTCAGCAGCCAGTTAAGGTGCTGATATATAAAATAAGCTTTTAAACATCAAAATTTTATTACATGTTTATATTAATGTTCATAGTCATTTATTATATTTGAGAGATTACATTTCTTCTATAACAAATTAGAGGATTTATGTTTACTAATATAAAAAAATTATCATTTTAACCTAATACTTTTAATTACTAAGATAACTTTGAGCCTTGCCTTTTGTTATTGATGTTTACATATATGTACACATATGTATTCTTTTAAGCTTTGTGATTTTCACAGATTTTATACATAACATTATGTTTAATTTTTAAAAGTGAAATGAGGTAGATATCAGAACAGAACTCTGTGGTATCTAACTAGATATATTTCTCTATATATTAATTATGCCTCAATTTATTATTTCTAAATACAGTAATTCATGCATGTACAAATAAACTATCTTTTTAGTGAACATAAAATATCTTGAAATTAAACAATGCATTTCTTAAATTTAGGTGCAGTTTCTACAGTATTCTTCTCATTTGCAAATGTGGCACATGATATTTTTAGTGAACATATCCCAGTGGTCACTGGCATATTTTTAATTTGGTTTAATTCAAATATCTAATAATTTATCTTATATTCCAAAATTATTAGCTCATATTTCATACATTTTTTGTGTGTTTTTAGAGATTTAGTTTTTTAAATTTTTTGACAAACACATAATGTTTTTTCATATTTGTGAAGTACAATGTGATATTTAGATTCATGTATATGTTTTGTAGTTATCAGTTCATGAAAATTATCCTAGACTTTGAAGACTAGTGGAAAATAAAGAAATAGAATGATTGATCAATAGGTACAATGTTATTGTTTAATAGGAGGAATGAGTTTTGGTATTCTACAGCACAGAAGGGTAAATTTATTGAACAATAATGCATTGTATATCTCAACATAGTTACAAGGGATTTGAATGTACTCACCTAAAGAAATGATAATATAAAGATAATGGAAATTTATCTTTTTAGATATAAAAATGTAGTTTATATTCATCATAGGCTTTTATGTGCTCAGTTGGTATAATACCATGTAATTTTTACAGTTCCATCATATTAGTGTAATTAATATCCCTATTTTTAGAGTTCAACAAACTCAGCACAGATTGGTTTTTCAATTTTCCATGGATCATACAGTTAGTAGTTTCTGGAATTGGAATGAGAAGCCAAGTCAAATGACTTTGATAACATCCACTCATCTGTCCTAGGAACAATGCTAGTTACTGGACATAGTGACAGCTATTGGTAGAACAAAGCCTAAGGTTTTATGAGACAAAGGACACAAACTGAACTAAATATATAAAGTATATAATACTCCAATTTGTGGATGAGAAATGCAATGTGGAAAAGTAAATAATGGCAGAGGAAGTTGAAAGGGAAAGGCAGGCTGGAGACACAGTATTTAAGATGGTACAGTCCAGATATATTGTTGCTGTTGTTGTTGTTGTTGTTGTTGTTATTATTATTATTATTATTATTATTATTATTATTATTTTTGTATGAGGGATAGAACTCAGGGGTGATAATGCTATCCTGATAAAACTGAATTATTTAGAGACAGTTTTTTTTTAAGCTTAAAAGATATTTGCAATCACAAAGAAAGAAATATTTTATAGTGTTCTGCCTCTGACTCTGGATTCAAACATGGCAGGTGTTCATCCCAGCCCCACAGGGACCTGAATCAACAAGTTCCACTTTAATGACACTTTCTCCCTTCAAAAAATTTATCATAAAAAGTAATTAGGCAAGTGAGCATATATTTATATGTAGTATGTATTGAAATATTGTAATATTATTTATAATGACAAAATGGGTAGTTTTAAATCTCTCATTCTATTATTTTAAATAACATAAATTAAGCTACAAACTTATAATGAAGTACTGTTAAATTGTATAACATAACTTTATAGTAGCATTTCATAAAACTGCTTTAGTAAATCTCTATTAACAAACGAGATATTTGTGTGTGTGTGTGTGTGTGTGTGTGTGTGAGATAGGTATATATTCAGAAAAGGAAAAAATGAATAAAATGAGCATGTAACTGTGTTGAGTTTCCACTCAACACAGTTACATGCTCATTTTATTGGTTTGGTTGGGTTGTGAGTGATGTTTCTTCTTTTGACTGTATTTTAATATTTATCAGTAAAGAGCATATATTATAATAAAAATTTACATGAACACTAATATTCACACAAACTCTTTTGTCCAAGGCTTTATTTATTAATGCATTTTTTATTAAAATTAGTTTATATCATTGCTTCTTTAACTTTTCTAGGGAAAAAATTGTTTTATCACATCTCAGCATTAGTTTTATGGTTTTAAGCACCAGTAAAACTTGAAGTGTAGCACTACTTGAAGCCCTATATCTGAGATACAAAAGTAAGCAATGAAGTTATTACAATTGTCCTCTCCAGTCTTTTGAATAATAGAAAGCCTGTCATGTTTTTAGATTATTCTAATTTGAAAATTATCAAGTATAAAAAATTGTATTGAATGAACGTGTTTTGATAATGACGAGAGGTTTTGATTTCAGTTGGTTTTCACAAACTGTACCATCTACATTACAGCCACCAATGAACATCCACTCCATTGTGGTGCAAGTCCAATGCATCAACAAAAAAGTGGGCACCGTCATCTACCATGAAGTGAGAATTGTGGTGAGGGATAGGAATGACAACTCACCCACCTTCAAACATGAAAGCTACTATGCCACTGTGAACGAGGTCAGTTTCTGCCTGCTCTTTGTATCATTTTTGTTGATAGGTCAAACTAACTATACACTGTAAGTTTTGTTTTTAATAAGCTATTTCTTCATAATAATAGGCCTGTTTAGAAATACTAAGAAAACATTTTTAGGAATGGTATTTAGAAGAAATGTATTATGGGTGACTTCTGATGTGATTCACATTGCTATAGGAAAAGTTCAACTGACCCCCAAATTTTTCATTTTTGATCATCTTAGAAAGTTTGGTGCCTGAATCTACTATATACTTACTGAAGCAAAATAGGATTTATTTATTCTCATTGTATGGCAGTGGTCTAATTATTTAGAGAGACAATTTTTTAAGCTTAAAAGGTATTGCTAATCACAAAGAAAGAAATGTTTTGTAGTGTTCTGCCTCTGACTCTGGATTCAAGGTGGCTGAGGTGGCTAAACTGGAAGGAAATATCTGAGATTCTGTTAATTTGAAGGTACTAATATAAATCACTACTGAATTCTTCTACAAAAATGCTGACCAAATTAGCAAACACCTTAAAAGCAATCTTCTTGCTTTTATTAGAGAAGACTTTTATTATTGTTATGTGTTGTTTGGGTTGTTTGTTTGTTTTCCCCTTTGACTAAAATCCATGAGCCAAGATGTGTCTTAACTTTAAAACAAAAACTGTTATTAATCTATTAAGTTTTGTTTTGTTCAATAAAACAGAAAATATTTTTAAAGTACTTCTAATGTCATTTATTATTTTTACTTTAGACACGTAGAAAAATAAATGGAATTAATATGATAATCCAGGTCACTTTTATCTCTGGGTTTTTTTATTTAAAAAAATACATGCCTACTTTATAGGAGAAAAATCAGTATAATTCGGTCATTAAACATACTATAAAGCCTTTAATATTTTCATTCCCTTTGAAATTAATTAAATATATTTTAGTTCAATATTTTTTCAAATTATATTACTTAACAAACTAAAAACTCTTATTTTAAGTGGCTTGACCAGGACAAACTTCAGGTTAGTAAATACTGAATATATTAAAGACACTTTGAACAGATTTCTACAATAATGACAGTTGCTAATTGATTACCCTGTAATTGATTTTAGATACTTATAAATGGTTCCTTTTAGCATTTGAATTGCAGCCTTTGAATTAGATTTGGCTTTGTCTGCTTGAGGGTTGACTTCATTTGAATATAAATTGACAGGTGAAGTATGTTAGGCAACTCATTGGAAAAGCTGTTCTTATATCACTTTGATTGCTTCTGGATCTTTGACTATAGTTCATTTTTTTCTTACAGAAACTTATAATGCTTAATTTAAATTTTAAAGCATCATATGTTATTAGATTATTCTCACTCCCCTCTTCAACCTTTTCAGTGCCTTGTTGAAAAATAACTTTCTCAAATACCATTCTAATCATGTCACTGTACTCTTCATTAATTGTGTACTTTCTCAGGAAAAATACCACTTTTTTGGCATACCTTCAAGTTCTTGAATAATATCACCATTATCAATATGTTCTTAATTTTACATTGTCTCTGATAATGCTCTATGTGTCTCAGAAAGACTTCCTCATATCCCAAGTTCCATTTCTTGGGCTTTGCTCACACTGTTCATTGAGATCTTTCCTACCTTTCAATTCTCCCATTCATCTTTTATAATTTAACTTAGGACCTATTTTCCAGAAATTATCCCTCCCTGACTTTTCATAATTATCACTCTTCAATGCCTCCAAATTTCTACCATATCTGGATAAATGACAGAACGATAAAATTTATGAACAAGTTAAGCATTTTATCTTAGTATTTTGAAAAGCCTAGTTTCCTTTCCAAAGCTGTTTCTATGTGGTTGAACCCATATGTTCCTTGCAATGCATTTCCCTATAGCCATCTGAAGCAATTTTATCCCATGCATACCATAATTACAACCGCTAAGATTTTGCCCATATTGTCTCATATCTATTTTTGAAAAGAAATCAAAATTCTATTTAAACCTGAAAACAATCACAAGAAAAAATAAAATTCAATTTCTCTCATATTTAGTTGAGTTGTTCTTGTAAGACTGGAAAACGCCACACCACAGGACACAGATTACCAAAGAGTTTTTCCACTTTATTACAAAAGGCTGTGTGTTTATACAGGTCTAAGAGAGGTCGAAGGGCTGAGGTAGATAACAGGTCGCTCGTTTATTGGCAAGCTCTTCCATATGTCAGTTCCGGAGCCCAAGAAGTTAATTCTAATTGGGGCTAAGGCTTCCCACCAGCAGGGTTTGAACATTGGCGCCGATGGGAACGTCTTCCCAACAATTCTTCCATAGTGATAGTTCTTAGTTTAATTAACTTCAGTTTTTACAATCTGCCAATAATATTGTCTGTAAAATAAAATTAAATGAATTGGATTTACATTTTGCAAAATTGCAAGATATTTTTTATATTTTCTCATTTAGTTCAAGCTATGTAGTTAATTCAGATAAGACTAGAAAGTTCCAAATTAAAGGGGGGGGGGGAACACTTCCCAGTTTGATAGATTGTTGGTGTCAAAATATTTCACACTTTATTAAAATACAAAAGAAGACAGGTATAAAGTCATTATCATAGATTTATCAAAGAAGCTTCCAAACTTAAATTCCTGATTAGTCATTTCACTTCAGTCTGTAGGAGAAAATTGTGGAGTACTAGCATCAATTGACTGTTAGTAAATTGGTCAGAAAATTGGGGATAATGCAAATCCTTTGTTCAGTCATCCCTTCGCTATTCATTAATAAGCATCTTAGTAGGCTAGCATAACTACTTTTATGTACCTGATATTAAAAATAAATATCAGAGTTGGCATTTATGGTATTATATGGTATTATAGCATATCAAAATTACAATCAGTACTTTTATAAGCACATTAAATTCTACCCTCTTACACTCTTTGTAAACATATTATTTTATTAGTATGTCAAGAATTCACCAAAACATTATTAATTCCTTTATCTAAATGTCAAGTAAGGATTATAACAAGGTTTATAATTCCTTATTTATGAGAAAGATGTAAGACATTATAAGTATTTTTATCTCTCTGGGTAATTGAAGACTCTCAATTAATTTTGGACTATTGTATCATTAAGTAATTAGACTGACTGTTTTGAAGAACAAATTACACAGTAAAATTCTGATCGTTCTTAAGCCATTTGTGGAAGATAAATCTTTCCTGACAGTGATGCCTTTAATAATGCATACAACCCACCCCCCAAAAAATTGTTTTTACATAATAATAAATATAAACAAGTAAAAATTCAAGCACCAGTTCAGTAAATAATTATAGTAAACATCAGATTTTATTAAATTAAGAAGTATACTGAAAATGAAGAAATAGAGATAGTCAATATTAGCTGCCTTTCAAGATATTTAACTAAAAGGAGAAGGAGAAATTGAGTGGTAGCCAGGAGATGAAATGAGGCTCAAGTTAGAATTTAAAGGAAGAAGAGAATAGAGGATATTTTAACACAGGCCAAGTAACACATAAAAATGAACATTTCTTCCAGGTGCAATGTGCAATGGTTCAAGCCTATAATCCCAGCACCTCAGGAGGCTAAGGCAGGAGGATTGCATGTTCAAAGCCAGCCTCAGAACAAGGAAGGTGCTAAGCAACTCAGTGAGAACCTGAGTAAAATACAAAAAAAGGACTAGGGAAGTGGTTCACTAGTTAAGTGTCCCTAAATTCAATTCCTGGTACCCCTCTCAACCAAAAATTAACATTCCTAAAAATCAAATGTTGACTTGTTTAACATTATTTCCTATGAAATTATATATGTAAGGAAAGTACTTCAATGCAATAGAGACTATAAATGACAAAGATACAGCTAGCCTCATAATCAATGGGAGTCAACTGAAATAATTTTCTAAGACTACAAACAAAACAAGATTATCCACTTTTACCACTCTTAAATTTAACATAGAATTGGAAATTTTAGCCAGAAAAATAAGGCAAGAGAAAGGAATAAAGGGCCTCTGAATAAGAAAGGAAGAGATAATATTATTTCTGTTTTCAGATGACATGATTTTATATATAGAAAAACCTAATGATACTACCAAAAAACCCTGTTAGAACTGACCAACAAATTCAGTAGGTTTGAAAGGTAAAAAATGAAAATGCAAAATCCTATAGCATTTTTATACAACATGATAAACTTGTTGGGGAAGAAATTAATATCATTTAAAATAGACACAAAAGTAATACAATATCTAGACATAAATTCAAGGAAATTAAAATTTTAACACCTCAATGAAAATAATTAAAGAGAACACAAAGAGAATGGAAGAACCTTATATTCTCATTGATTAGAGGTATTAATATTTTCAAAATGTCCATAATACCCAAGCAATACAAAGATTCAATACAATTATAAAATATGAATGATCTCCCTCACAGTACTTTTTATGTTTTGTAAATAATATGAAACCATAAACAAATCTGAATACCATGAGCAATCTTGACCAAAGAGAACAAAGATGCAGATGTCATAATATAGGGCCTCAAAAATACTGAAAACCAAAAAACATTGTATTGGCATTAAAACTGACATGTAGCATAAAAATAGAGAATAGAGAACCTAGAATAAATCCAAAATATACCTTGAAGAAAGTATAATCTCTTTAATAGATGGTGCTGGGGGAAACAGAAATCCATATATAGAAGAATTAAACTAGACCTCGTCTCTTATTATATAAAAAAAATTCAACTACAAATGGACCAAAGGCCTAAAGGTAACACACAATATCAAATTACAAGAAGAAAACAGTATAAGCAATGATTTTTTTATAATATCCCCAAATCACAGGCAATAAAAGCAAAAATTTATATATGAGACTATATCAAACTAAAAATCTTCTACACAGCAAAATAAAAAACACAGTGAAGAGAAAACTAACATGATGTGGTAAAATATTTGAAAACTATCTGTCAAGGTATTATTTGTAGAATATACAAGAACTGCAAAATACTCAAAATCAAAAGAAAAA